CATCACTGGCAACGCAGTGAAGTCACCTATGGGAGGACGCCGTCTCCACTGAAAGTGCTAAGGGGAAGCAGGGTACTTTCAGAGCTTTACTTCAGGTCATGACTAACTCCAGGGGCAAGGGCCGAGCCTCCAGAGGGACAGAGTAGAGCAGTCCCTAGCGCAGTCTGCACATAGGAGACGATCCATCGACACTTGTTGACCGCGTGAAGATCGTTCCCGTTTAAGTTCCCACAGTGTCCATTTATTTATTTGTTCAACAGTAAAATACACTCAAATAGTAAGAAGTCCTGCGGGTTAGGGAGCAAGGTAAAACGAAAGGCTAGACCCAGTGATGTCCGGCGCTGACTTCGGGTGTGCGGGGAAGGCCTCCTTGAGCAGGCGCTTGAGTTGCGCGCGGGCCAGAGGAAGGGCACGTGCTGCTGCGCCTCCATGAGGAAGGCGAGGCGGTCCCGAGTGAACTGGAACATCACTGGAGCATTTCCCGGAAGGATGACAATACCCGGCCTTCGGCTTTAGAACAACCACTGGTTTTTCTGTTGGGACGTGACTTTGGGGGACGGGAGGAGCAGTACCGAGTCGCTGCTGCCGCTGTCGAGTCGGGAGCCAGGGGTGGCCAGACCCAGGGAGCAGCAGCCGCAAGAGCAAGTGGCTTTGTGTCGGGTACAGCCGACCGGGTCTGCTGACAGACTGAAATGGGGACGGACAGGAGCTAAGGGCACCGCCAAAGGCTTGGCCTGAGTCGTTGAACGAATGGACTCATCGCTCACTGGAGGGGGGGGGGGAGGGGAAGGGGGGCGGCGCAGCCTTCGAGGATATGGAAACCAAGATTTCCTTTTTAAATGCTAAATTTGATGTCGTGTGACAGTCTTAACCACAGATCTGAAGAGAGCAATCTGGAATTGAGGGTAAAGTTGGGGCTCAAGTCACAAACTTGAGGTTAAACCCAATAGGACACTAGAGGAGACCAGCAAGCAGCTGGGCATGGCTAGGGACGCCGAAGGCCCAGCCCCTGGGCACGCCAATACTCCGCGGCATGAAGATAAACCACCAAAGGACACGGACAGGGAGAAGTCAACGAGGCAAGAAAAGAAGTGGGAGAGTGTGGCTGCCTGGAGGCCAAGGGAAGGACGCTTTCAGGACAGCATGCCGAAGCGCTTTTATGACGTTCCTCATTGCGACAGCCGACAGCCGGGGGGATGCAGGAGCTTGATAGTACTTCACGGTGGCGTCTTCTGCTCTGGCTCCCTGCCCGGGGACTTCTCTGCTACTGCCAGAGGAGACAACTGCAGGAGGCTGGTCGGCAATTCTAGGTGAGGAACAGCCCTGAGAGCAGCAGTGAGCTAATACACTCTGGGGTTACCTTTGGTCAACAGAAGATGAAATCCTTACAGATAAACACGCCCCCATCCCACCATGGAAATAATCCACAGTTGCTGCAGCAATAAACATCACTAACAAACCCTTGCCCTGATGATTTCTTCTGTCTGGGTTCACTCTTCTATCACTTCTGTGTCCTGAGTCACCTCCCCAAATAAAATAACTGCATGCAAGTCCCTGACTGAGGCTTTGCTTGACTTTTCAGGGAAAGTAAAATTACGATTTACAATAGCAAAGTTATGGAAGTAACCTAAGTGCCCAACAGAGGAGTGGGTTAAGAGGATATAGTGCGTGTGCATATACACATACACAGGTGGAATACTACTCAGGAATGAAAAAGATCAAAGCTTGCCAAGTGTGAAACATGGATGGAACTGGAGGGGGTTGTTGTAGGTCAAATAAGTCAGGAGAAAGACAAATACCATGTGACTTCATGCCTATGTGGAACACAGAGAAACAAAGGACAGAACAAAACTAAGCCAAAACAACCCTTAGAAATACGCTGCAGCACCTCCATGTTGAGTGCTGCTTTATTTACCATTGGAAAGACATGGAAGCAGCCCACATGCACCAAGTAGATGATCGGATTGAAAAGATGTGGTACATATATACAATGGAATATTACTTAGCAATCAAAAAGAGAAAACCGTGTTTTTTGCAGCAACTTGGATGGAGCTGGAAAAGATCATGCTTAGTGAGATAAGCCAGGAAGAGAAAGAAAAATACCAGATGGTTTCACTCATAGCAGGAGTATAATGGACCAGGCGAGAAAATAACAAGAATAATGAACAACCAGAGACCAGAGACATTTTGTGGGGTGGAGTGGGGGATGGGATCAAAAACGGGGGTGGGGAGGGAAGTGCACAGGATTATGGCGGTGGCACACGGGTGACTTGGTGATGGGAAACCCGCGGGGACTACAATTGAGATGGGGAAAAAATGTAAAAATGTAAAATAAACTGTTATAAAATTTAAAAAAATCCACTAAACGTTATGAGAAACAAGAAATCAGTACAGTAAAGGGGCAGGCTATAAAATCAACATTTAAAAATCTGCTGTATTTGTATATGCAGAGAGCAATCTGGAACAGAATAAACCAAGAATACAATTATATTTATAAAAGTTAAATAGAAAAAAGAAGCAAGAAGCTAGGGATAAATTTAACAAAGGCCATGAATGATTTGTACAATGAAAATTATTAGACATTGTAAATAAGTAGATGAATACATAAAGAAATAGATACATATTTTGTGCTTCTAAGCTGGAAAAAATAAAATGAAAAAAAAAAAGAAAAAAGAAATACGCTGCAGGATTGAGGCTACCAGAGTGACGACAGACGGGGAAGGAAACCAATGGACTGCGGTGCAGGCCTGGGGGTACTTAACGTTGGGTGGTGACACACATCTGAGAGAACATGAGCCTGTGTCCCTAAGTCATATACACCGCTGTAAACCAGTGTGACCTCACTTAAAAAGCAAAGAGGACAGAGGGCCTGACCAGTTGGGAGAAGTGGCCGAGTCGATGATAAGCTCAGTCAGATGGCGGCTGAAACTTGACTACTGGCTCCACCAAGGCACCATCATCCGTGACGGTGATAAGAGCTGTCTTAGTAGAGGGCTGGTTCACAAGGTTGGCTGACCTGGGCTGGACTTACAGACAATGCTTCTGTTTCCTCAATGATGTGCGGCAGGATCAGAGACCAGAGGTGGGGAGCAGTAGGGGGATGATGAGCCGCGAGTGTGAAGTAGCCTCTGGGAAGAACTGGGAAGTGAACTGAGCAGAGAAACAAAGCTGACGGCCAGCCCGCTCGTGGCTTGTGCTTGTGCGCTTTCCTTCAACCATGTCCACCTGTTTAGGTAAAAAGTGGGGGCAACTGGTCGTTCTTTTTTTAGAAGTTTTATTTATGTATGCACACAAGAACTGGGGTACAGGCCGGAGGCGCGGGGGTGAGAGGATTCACCACACACAGAGCGGGGGGCAGAACAGGCCGACCGCCTGAAACGCACTGCTGAGGGGAGCAGCGGCGGGACAGGCGAGGTCTGCTGCGTGCTGGGGGTCCCTCCCTGGCCAGGGACCCAACTGGTGCTCCAGCGGCTGCGGCCAGCCACTTGACCGCGCGCCACCAGGAAGGGCCCCGAGTGGTCGTTCCTGACGAAGGCGCAGACTGTTAGGCGAGTCCCTGGCAGAGACAAGCAGGCAGATGAAGCAGCGGACGGCAAAGGCAGGAAGACACTGGGGAGCGGGTGTCAGTATGCCCGCGCTGGGAGAAGTGGGGCTCGACAGCACGGCCTTTCTCCACTGAAAAGCAGCAGGTCGGAGCAGTTCGGGTCACCGTTCTGGGGACAGAAAGCCTGAGAGGCTGCGCGGGGGTCGCTCCACTCCCTTGCACAAAACCTGCCACGGTCCCTCCCGCCTCACGCAGCCGCCGCCGTCGCGTTACTGCGTTTGCCCGGTGATTCTCAACTCAGGGCTACCTCTGCATTTCGGGGTGCGCTCCGCTCCGCCCTTATTCTCCTCCTCCATGCTGTTTCTCGGAAATTCTTTGGAAGCCGAATTCAGTCTCCGGCTGCCAATGGCTTCGGGTTGGTGCCACCAGCTCCTTCAGAACTGCAGACAAAACCCGTCTTCTAAGAAGCCGACGTTTGGCTGAGTGCAGGTCATCACCTCTTACTTGAGAGCTGCCCCTGCCGAGACAGGTCTGGACGATAAGGGCCCAGCACTGTAATTTTAGGCTTCGTGGTTCCCACTAATGCCTTGTCTACTCCTCTAAAAAAAGGAAGCATTTCAAGATGAAAGGACATATGTACTCCAGAGATTTTGAAAACTAGCTTGTAATGTCACATATAGAATTACTTAGTTTAATCGTGGCTGGGTTTTAATTTATTAGCATGGCTCGAATAAGGGGATAAAGGGGCGCTTTGTGAGATAAATATTTTTTTGTATTTAAAAATAACTCTCAAATAAATACTTAAAAATCGTTGGCAAAAATGAATGATGAATTAGGAATGTGTATTATACTTTCAAAATAAGGAAGACACAAGAGGTCCATTTTATAAATGGTACCAAATTCCATTTTTGCCAAATAAACAAGTAGCCAGATGTATGACTCCTATGGGAGTCGAAGTTGCCCCTGTGTGGAAATTCCTAAAACCTGGGATGGACGCGCGGGAATGGGCTCAGATACCCTGGTGCGGGGCCCTGGAATTCGGGAAATGTTCTTGCAGATCCCCAAATAATCTACCTCCTCACATCTGTCCTTTCTCCCACAGTAGCCCCGCCTCCTGGGCAGCCCTCCCTCTGGCTTCCTGTGCATACCACCTTCCCAAAGAGATCTTGTTTTGGACCCTCTCCCGTCAACCCCTGACAGGCCTCAGGGATGGAATCTGTAAGTTCCACAGAAACTCGGGGCTCTTTCATTCCTAAGGCCATGTTGTGTTTGGTTGGGACTACGAAGCCCAGGTAACTGCTACGTTTCCCCTTCTGTCTGTCCCAGTGAGGGAAAGAGAAAAGTTTCACCCATGTCCTGAACTTGTCGGCCAAGTATATTAGCGTCTGCCTGCCTGCCGTGACTAAAAGCCAACGTGCGGGTGTTGTTTGAGAGACTCCGCCGCCCGTCATTTCCCTCAAAAGCAGCATCTGTGCAGCACCGTCACAGACTCTTCACACGGCTTTATCTTCATTTCGCAGTTGAGGAAGCGAAGGGCCAGGAAAGGCTACAGAGGGAGAGGCAAGCGCTCCAACCTCGGGGCCAGCACAGCCTTCACTGGCCGCTTCCAAGCGGCCACCCCCGCGCCGAGCCTCAGTGTCCGCGTTTGCATGTCATAATTGCCTGGGGGTTTCCGGCAAAGATGCTCACTTAACTGGCCTCAAGTACAGTGATTTCTTTCGCACCACATTGTCTCGGAAGCCAATCGAGGGCCCGCCATAAGTCCAGTCTGGCATTTCTCGCGGAAGGAGGGAGGCCTTGTCCCTTTTATAAGATCCAGGCACCACGGGTCATGTCCTAGAAGGAAGTTTAAAAGGCTGAGAGTGTTAGCCTGCAGGATGGGGCTCGGGTCCCATCCAGGTCCTCTGCCCCTGCCGCTCTCTCCTTCTGTGCTTCTGTCTCTCTCTCATGCACACACTCACACACTCACAGAGAGAGCCACTCCACTGGGAGCGCTGTTCGAATGCGAAGAAAAAGATTACTGATGTAAGTCAAAGACAAAAAGGAGATCAAGGATGCGACGCGGGAAGAGGTGGGCGAGTAGAGTTGTAGGCGAGAGGCGGAGAGCTGATGACGAGCTTTCTTCCCCATGCATACTTTCTTAACCTTTATTTGCTTTTCTTTCTGCACCCATATCTAGTATTACACCCCACTGCTTGCTTTCCTGTCTCTCGAGATAGCCCACGTACGGTCGGGGACCTCTCCTTCTTGGGAGGTCGTCACCCCCACCAGCAAGGGACCCATAACAAAATCACACAGTAAAACTGTTGAAGCCAACTAGTACCTGGGCTTTAACTGTAGTGCTCTTTTTCTTGGATTTTCGTTTTAGCATGTCTTTTTTTCTCATCAGAGCACGGTCTCTGCAGGCTGCGTTCAGTGCAGGCCTAGGAGGGGCCAAGGAGCCGTTCGGCGCCCCTCCCTTTTCGGACACAGTTTAAAGACGGGCCTTCAGGGTGCGTCTGCTTCACCTGAACCGGACATAGGTGACTCGTGGCCGCCCGTCAGAGAGTCAGATAACAGTCAGATAACGGACCCTGACTTCTGTCTTTTGCTACTAAGACATGGCCGTGCTCTGGTACAGCCAGCAGGGTCACCTGGAAAGCTGGAGAATGACAAGTCGTAAGTCATTTCTAGGGAAGAGGTCAACAAACACTGTTGAGGCAACATCTGTAGCTTCGATTGGGATGACAGCAAGGCCCCTGAGTGGTGTGTGGTGTCGTTCTCAAGAAATCTCTCCTTGAGACTTAGGTGTCTTGCCTGTCCTGGTCTTTGAAAGCAGCGAAACTGGTAGTGTTGTGATGACAAATCTGAGGGTGAAGCGAGGGAGGCACACCGAGGTTAAGCCGGAGGGACTGTGGACTGCAGTGTTATCAAACCTTAGCCCACAGGTTCAAAAGGGTTGCTAGTGACCCCACGATCCAACCTAACTCAGCAGAGTAGAAGATTATTTCATCATGTGGAGGCTGGGAACGTGGGCCATCTTCACAACAGATAAGAATTTGAGTGAATGACTACGAAGTTTTCTTTTTTTTTATTGAAGTCACATTGCATTTTAACATTTTATGTTTCAAGTGTTCATCGCTGAGAGTCAACATGTGTATGTATTATATTTAGTTCAGTGCTAAAAGTACAAAGGGTTTGATCTGTGCAACTAGAAGTTTGGAACTGGCATGAAAGAAAGAAGAAGGGCTGCAAAGGTCAGGTTTGAGCAGAGAAGGATCAGGAGTTTGGTCTGAACGTGTTACATTTGAAAGCCCTACCATGGACCAGAGTGGAGACAGGCTGTTGGCTGTCTGAGTGGCAAGGTCACGGGAGTAGTCCAGGCAGGAGGAACTTTTAAAGTCATTGTGTACGTGGTACCCAAGAGTAGATTGCGAGGCCCTTTCCCTGGGACAGAGGGGGAGAGAGTGAGGCCATCCAGCAAAACACTGCGAGACAGGGGCGAAGCGGGAGGGAAAGCGGAGGAGTGTGGCATCCTGAGAGTTGAGTGGCAAAGTGCCGCTAGGCGAGCAGAGCGGATGGGTCGAACTCAGCCCAGGCTGAGACGTAACTGTGCACTCACCGAGGCGGAAGTCGCCAGAGAAGAGTGGACTGCTGGAGCGACAGCGTGATTTCATCAGTCACCCTGAACAATGTTCAGGATTCCAGAAGCTCATCTTTTCTCACACGAGCAAGCCAAAATGAGATCAGTGGGAACATTTGATGTTTCTGTGATCCTTCTCGTGGGCATGTTGGCGGGATGTACAATGAGGTGCTTTGAGCTCACAGAAGCATGGCGTCGAGGGCGCGGGGAGCTGCTGTGTTTAAGAGCCTCAAACAGTCTTTTAGACTGCGTCTATAATGCCATCAGAGTGAGTGCTGAAATGGGAAAAGACCAGCCAGCAAGTAAAATGTCTTATTGTCGTGGCGCAAAGTAACTTACTTGGCTGTTTTCCCTGACTGTACTAACCTGACCAGTTCCTGCTCTTAAGCTGACGGGGCCCAAAAGGACACACGAGCACTCGCGTGCACGATGCTCACACATACCGTAAGAGGAAGTTTCTTCTTAGACAAAGAAGACTATGCTGAGTCCTGGTTTTCCTCTAGCTGAGCCAGGGACTTCATTGCCCTGTGGAAAGAGGCCCTTCAAAGCGAATCAGAGAACAGAGGGAAGGCAGGTCACGGCATTTCTGCACGTGGCAGTGAGGCCTACTTTACAGCCAGGGGCGACGGCTGACTTCGAGTGAAAGTGGGGAAAGACGTGAGGACAGCACAGGCATGGTGCACACTAAGTTCCCGTGTCTCCCCGTCTGCCCACACTTGCCACCCCACTGCTGTGGGGGCAGGAGACTCCCAGACACGTGCTTGGACTGCCACGTGTGCGCTATCCGGAAGTCGGGGCAGGGGGTGAGCATCCCATGGGGAAGGGATTCGATGAACAATCTGGCAGACAAGAGATGAACTTTTCTTCCTTCCTCTCCCAGACGGGCTGTGTGGGGAACGTAGCTTGACCTGTCATGACACAGTGAAACATCAGCTGGTCATGAAACAGGCTGTGGCCCAAACAGTGGCACCTTCTTTGTCCGCTTCCTTCCCCTCACTTCCCTGGCATTGCACGGTAGCTTTTGCTTCAGGTTCTATTTCCTAAGAAACTCAGCCCAAGACCTCTACAAATTGGGAAACCTGGAATTAAGCTGTAATTCTGATCAAACTCAGAACCCTGCGGCCTTTAGACAGGCCCTTCCTTCCCTGCCGTCCGTGTGTTTTTCTCCGAGTGTGAAATGTCACTATCGCGGTAGATCTTCCCTAGGGAGGGGCTGGGGAAGGCGAGGCACTACACTGACCACGTCACCAGCGGCTGGGGCAGGAGGATGTGCTCCACAAGCCGAAATGTGACGGCCCCGGCCCAGGCCAGTCCCAAGATAGTCTGAGTTCCACTTTCTGCAGAAAGACGTTCAATCAGCTTTCCTGGACCTATAAAGAGCAGCCCGAATGAACTCGCCCTCTCTGGCACCCCACTCACTCTGCACCGTGTGCACTCTGAGAAATGGCAACCTGCTAGTGAGGATGTATACACAAGGCGGCGAGGCCACCATCCTGGCCAGCGGTTACCACAGGGTTCTGTGACCGCGCCTGCACTCACAGCGTGGGTGTGCGCTTGTGTCCACCCGGACTTCCCATGACTCTGGCAGGGAAGGACTCACCATTCGAGGCTTGTTCCTCCGGAAGCGGCGTTTCATGATGCCAAAGACCTACATCTGACTCGGGGGCATGGCATGGACTGGCATCGGGCGATCAGGGCTCCATCCCTAGCTCCACCAGTCACGTGTTCTGTTACCTTTGGAAAGTCACTTCACTCTCCCGCGCTTCCGTTCTGGCAAATTCCATAAAACGGCCAGTGGGACAGTGCCTACGTCTTAGATGAGCTAACAGGCAATGTATACTTAAAGGACGCACTAGCACATACACTCACGCCAGGGAAGTGCTCAGCACATTCAGTATAGCGAGAATGATGGGGAAGATGGGCTGGAACCAAAGGAGAACTCTTGGCTGGAGCCACATGAAATGTGGAAAGCAGCGGCGTTAGGGGGCAAGCGATGACTTAACTGCCAGAAAATGCTAAGCAGGAAACACCCTGTAAACATTCCTGTTTATACAGTACATGACGCAAAGTAGAAAAATAATGAAAACAGAGCCTCTCGGCAGGGTTTATAGTTCTTTCGTATATATTTTAAATATACATGTGCAATACATTAAAATATATAGAGATGTGTGAATATATATTTACATACGTATATGTATATATACATATAGATGTATGTATACACACATAGCTCTCTCAGAAGGGGACATGTGCACCCACTCGCACGTCTGCGCACGCCCCGACAGGACCCATCTACGCAGGAAGCAGGCGCAGTCCACACCAGGCCAACTTGGACGCAAGTGAAAGGAGCCCCGACCCGACAGGCGGTAAGGCCATTCAGAGACACACTGAGAGGGCCCCTCTGGGTGCATGGCAGAGCCCAGGGGCCCCCGGCAGTGTACGATTTGCCTGAGTAAGGACTGCAGGGTTAGGGCATCACGGGGCTAGCGACAAGGAGGGACTTGTGTTATTTTAGGCCCCAAACTAATCAGCAAACATCCAGAGGATCACGTTAGGTCTGGGCACAGTGCTCTAGTGCCACAGAACCGTATGCATCTGAGCTCTAAGCAAATTGCAAGCAGAAGCAGGGGGCAGTCTGTGCAGCTACTCAACACCTGGCGTGAGCCAGGGAACCAGCCCCTGGTCGGGGCTGGTAAGTTCAAAGTTCCATCAGGCAGACTTGTCAGGTAAAACAAAAAGTCACTTCAAATGGAAGGATCTGCAAGCCACAAAAGAGGTTCCAGGTATTGGTTTTGGTTTATGAGAGTTCCAGGAAGCCAAACCTTATATATGGCACCATTTGCAGCAACACCATGAACATTGTTAATAATCATAACATATTTATATATACAAAAATAGAGCAAAGCGATTCTGGAAGAGGAGGTGAAAGTGAAGGTGTGCAGGCGCAAGTCAGGACGCTCACGGGCGAGTCGGCAGCAGCAGCAGCGGCTGGGTGGCACGCGTTTCTGTGGGGCCCGCCAGGGGCCGGCGTTCCCTCCTTCCCCAGGCGGGACCAAGCGCCCGCAACGCACACTCCGAGATGATGAATGGACTCAGCGGCTGCAAGTCTTCAACTGAGTCGGAGCACTTCGATTTCAAGTTCCTCACAAGAGGAAGGGGCCGAGTTCCCGTCTCTGCAGGCGCAGGCGCCTGCTGTCAGCACTGCAGCCTTTTCCCACGGCAGAGGGCTCGACTTAGCCTCTCGGTGTTTCTAAGAAGATGAGTCCGCGGGCCTCTGCCACACAGCCTCTGTCTCAGTTTTCCACTCTGGCTCAAATCTGGGTTCCTAGACAACCGCCGCTGCAGACCAAGCCAGGTGGCAGCGTGGCGCGAGCCACGCAAGCAGGTGCAACGCGAAGAGACAGCTTGCCTGGGGCTGCTGGAAGCCCGTCTTTCCCACCCGAGTTCTGCAAGGAGACAGAGCCAAAGGCGATGTCCGTGGGCGCGGAGGGCGGGGCCCACCTCAACGCCTTGTCGTGAAAAGTCAGGCAGCAACCTGCAGGCACTGCAGAAGCCCCCACGCCTGCTTCCTGAACAACTGAGCGGGACGGCTCTGTCGTTGTCCACAGTCCCAGGAGGAGAGCCCATGACTGCGCGTGGTGCAGGATAAAGAATAGTGACGTAGGAACCGCGCTCCAGTTCCAACGCTGCATTTGCCCGGTGCGTGGGGCCTTGGGCACGTCCCTCCCTATCTCCAGGCCTCACTTTTCCCGTCTGAAAAACAAGGGCACGGAGCTAGCTTAGCAGTGAAGATTCCTTCCAGCTCCGCAGTTTTGACTTTTGGATGTCCATTGTTAAGACCTGAGCCGTGCAGTGGCAGGACAGTGAGCTCGGGGCGGGACAGGCCTCTGCGCTGTCCTCCGCTGTGTTCGCGTCGCTGTAAAGCACGTCTGCCTTTGGCACTTGGGTCAGACATACAAGTAAGGGGCGGCCTGCGCGCTGCCTACCCAGCATGCTAGTGACCTGCCAGTACTGCACACTGGTCATCGGGAGCGGGAGCAAACCGCCACCTGACTGAAGCTGGAGATGGCAGCTAACTCGGCCTCCGAGCCTCACAGGCAGGTGCGTGCGCGCACACGCCAAGGCATGGACGATTGCTAGTGACCAGTCCGGCCGGCCCTCACTTCCCGTCACCAAGATCAGTAACTGTGATAGCATAGCAAGTTTGGTGTCAAAGGAAACACCCACGGGAAAACAGCACTTTCGGACACGTTGGAGAAAGAGCAACAGGTGGAGGGAGAGGTCAGGCCAGACGGGGACACGGACAGAGGAGTTGGCAGAGGGGGCACGAACCGAACCGGAGGGCGAGACAGGACAGAGGGACACGGGCAGAGAGGTTGGCAGAGGGGGCACGAACCGAACCCGAGGGCGAGACGGGACAGAGAGGGCACAGGGCGGGGGCGGGATCCCTGGGAGGGG